GGCACATCGGCTGGAAAGTGCCCGAAGAGGCTGCGCCAGAAGCCATGCCCGTGGTCAATCACAGCCCGATATGTGTGCGATACGTGAACGACTTGGAGTTGGCGTGACGTCCGATCGACATATGAGACACCATGGTCCGCCGACATGAAGAGGATTTGCAGGATTGACCTCGCCCAGTAGTCAACCAAACCACACCATTACAGCACCATGGGGAAAGTCCAGCTTCCGACCCGGGGCCAAATCGCGGCACCCTTTCGCTCCAAAGAGGCCTTTGTCGACTTCATCAGGGCTCCCCAAGGCAACGACGGTCATGCCCCAATCGGGGACGAGAGATGGTCTAACAAAGATCTTGAGCCAACGCCGGTAGAACAGAGGACTTGGACCTGGTAAGGATCTTGACCACGCACATCTTTGAGCTTTTATTGACAAACGAAGGTTCAACCTTCCTCTATACTGGTTCTCGAACCAGTTTTCCCTCGTTGGTTGGAATACGGGCTCCGCTCTTGTCACAGTCGGTCTGGTAAGCTACGTCGAAGCATGCAAGTCGAATACAGGAACTGACTACATCAACAGACATGGCAACAATCCTTTGTATCAGCCTGCATTGGGTCTTTCCTAGCAGCAGTCGTAGTCGTCCTCATGGCTCGTCCAGGTGCCAAGTACCACATCGGATTCCCTGTGATTGCACGCTCAGTCATGGGTATGTACGGCTCCTACTTTTTCGTCTTCATCCGAGCGATCGTATGCATCATCTGGTACGGAATCCAGTCTTTCTACGCCGGTAATATCCTCTCGGTTATGCTCCGTTGCATCTTCGGTAGCTCCTGGCAGAACTTCACGAACACACTATCGCCTACCGCAAGTGTCACCTCGAAGCAGCTGCTGGCTTTCTTCATGGCCTGGCTGATGGAGTTTCCATTCATGTGGGTCCACCCCAGGCACATCCACTATATCTTCACCGTAAAGGGGTTCATCATGCCAATTGCCGCTTTCGCCATCTTCGGTTGGTGCATGACCAACGGTGGCGGACTCGGCGCTATGGACCTTGCTTCCAGCGAAGGCGAGCTTGCCGCCTCAGTGACCCCTTTGGGATGGAGCATCATGGCCGGTATCAACACCATCTTCGGTTCGCTCTCGCCTATGTTGGTCAATCAACCTGACCTTGCTCGTTACTGCAAGAAGCCTCGAGATGCTGGTGTGACTCAAGGTATCAGCGTCTTCGTGTCCTCCATCATTGTCTTTTTCCTTGGCATGGCCTCAACCACTTCCATGCAGGCAGCATATGGTGTTGCCTACTGGAACATCTGGGATCTCTTCGAAGCCATCCTTGACCACCACTTCGGCGCCGGAGCGCGTGCGGGGATCTTCTTCGTCGCTTTGGCGTTCTACTTCGGTGTCTTCGCCACGAACTTTGGAGCCAACTCAATTCCGTTCGGAAGTGATATGACTGGCCTTTTCCCCAAGTGGCTCACCATTCGCCGTGGACAAATACTTTGCGCCATTCTTGGTGTCGTCGTACAACCATGGGAACTGATGAAGAACGCAACGGCCTTCTTGAGGTAAGTTCCCCAATAGGCTTCCCACTCAACATGCTAACGATGAATTAGTTTCTTGGGTTCTTACAACATCTTCATGGCCCCTCTTTGCGCCGTCATCATTGTCGACTACTACATCGCGCGCAAAGGAAACATACATATACCATCGTGCTACGATGGCAAGAAGACGGGTCTCTACTGGTACTGGTCCGGTGTCAACTGGAGTGGTGTGGCAGCCTGGCTACTTGGTACAACTATGGGTATTCCTGGCCTTATTGGCCAGTACGAGCCACAGATTATCTCGGCGGCTGCGCAGAACATGTACCGCATGGGCTGGTTGCTGACATTCTTCACCGCGGCGATGGTCTACTTCGTCATCACCTTCTTCGTCAAACCGCGTGTGTTCCCGGTTGGACGCGAGAGCACGCCCTTCCAACGGGAATGGCTAGCCAACGACGGCCGCGAGGGCTTCTTCGACGGAGACAGGGATGATGGTGTGATTTATGGCGCCTCAACGCCACCAATGACCGACGGAGGAGAAGATGTTGAGATTGGCGAGAAGTCACCCAAGGTCACCTTTTGAGCTCAGAGCAGCAACCTAGACTGTAACAGAATCGAAACCATGTACTCACTTCATGTAATTGCAATACGATAGATTTGAACAATATTCTACTAAGAAACTACGGCACTTGATTAGCCTTGTTATGATATCATAAAGTTGAGACTCCTGATCCGGCGGCTGGACATGTGAACTGGCCAGGTGCGATGTTGTTCACGTGTTTCCTAGTACCGACATGGACTTGAACAGTTCCGATCGGAACCAGCATTCCGAAAAAGTGGGATGCCGTTATCGGCTCCAGCTTATTAGTACAACCGGTATATCCTTGTTGGGCAAGTGTCTGGCTATCGCCTATGAGCGGGTCTGGACGGGACATGCGATTGCTCCCTATCACGATGCGGGCTTTTTGGGCCGATGGCATCGCTGACGCTGACAGGTCGCTGCCTTCGGCGTCTGGATGTGTCTCCAACTCCAACGGCTTCAAAGACCACTTCTCCAATTCCTCTTCTTGACATTACAACCGACCTGAGAAAGTAAAACGCGAATATCTTCCAGTATCTATACACCAATAATTCCTACGATCACCGACTTCTGAGAAGCCATGAGCTCAGATCTTTACAAACTCACAGCCACCGAGATCTCGGCGAAGATCAAAGCGGGCGAGACCTCAGTCGAAGAGTACGCGAAATCACTCCTCGGACGCATCGAAGCGCGTGATGAAGCTGTTCAAGCATGGGCATACCTGGACCCTGAGTACGTTATCAAGCAGGCGAAAGCACTTGATGCCATTCCACAGGCCGAGCGTGGTCCTCTCCATGGTGTTGCCATTGCCGTAAAAGATGTCATCTACACTAAGGGTGAGCTGCCAGAACCGTCTCTTCATCCAGCTCAACTAATCGTGTAGAAATGCCCACGCAGTTCAACTCACCCATATATGCCAACGATGCGCCTCAAGTAGACGCTGGCTCCATAGCGATACTGCGCAAGAGCGGTGCACTCATCTTCGGCAAAACAACCACGACCGAGTTTGCTGCAACAACCACAGGCCCAAAGACACGAAACCCGCACGACTCGAAACGCACGCCTGGTGGCTCTTCATCCGGATCCGGTGCAGCAGTAGGCGATTTTCAAGCACCTATCGGTCTAGGAACTCAAACCGGTGGCAGCACCATCCGTCCTGGCTCGTACAACGGCATCTATGCCCTTAAGCCCACATGGAACTCTATTACTCGCGAAGGCCAAAAGATCTACTCTCTGATACTGGACACATTGGGTTTCTATGCGCGTAGCGTGGCTGATCTAGAACTCCTCGCCGATACATTCGCCATTCACGACGATGCGCCACCTCCAAAAGACTTCACAGTGAAAGGCGCGAAGTTTGCCCTTCTCAAAACTATGGTCTGGCCGAACGTCGGCCCTGGCACCTCCGCCGCACTTGACAAAGCCGTCTCGCTACTTCGTACGAATGGAGCCGAGGTTGAGGAAATAAGCTTACCAGATGACCTTAACGATCTTCCGGCGTGGCACGCGGCGGTACTCAACTCTGACGGCCGAACCGCGTTTTTGCCAGAATACACAGTGGCCAAAGATAAGATCTCGGAACAGCTCGTCGGCCACGTTGAGAACAGTGGAAAGATCTCGCGCAAAGCGCAGCTTGAAGCTTTCGACAAGATTGCGGCAGCTCGGCCGGTTGTCGATGAGATACTTGGCAGATACGCTGCGGTACTTACACCAAGTGTGCCAGATGAGGCACCGCTGGGTATTGAGAAGACGGGCAGTGCGGCGTTTTGTTTGATCTGGACGGTAAGTCATATTTGTGTCCAGGTGCAGAGAACTTGACTAATACTCGCGCAGGCACTGCACACACCAGTAGTCAACGTTCCAGGTTTCAAGGGCGAGAACGGGATGCCCATCGGAGTGTCGCTGGTTGCACCTCGCTACCACGATAGACGGTTGCTCGCGGTCAGCAGCAAGGTCGGTGAAATCTTCGAAGCGGAAGGTGGATGGAAGCGTTCTGTGTAGCTCTATTGCAAATAAATTTGAATGGATTGGATCAAAGCATTTGCCGTTAGTCTTCTGGTAAATTGCTATTGGTTGTATGCATGCGTACTCTGGTTCCCTCGACCAAACTGTTCTACTTGACTCATAGTCAGATTCGTTTATATCTCCAATGCACTCCCCAAACTCAACTATCACAAAATATCTCGGCAATACCAATAACACGAAGAACACACCATCACAACAACATCAAGATGACGTCACGACAGGTTATCGAAGGCAAAGCAAAAGCCAGAGCGAACGCGGAATTAGACCTGAAAATGTGTGCAAACAGTGATCTCCGAGTTCTGTTCCGCAGTTCACTTTCTATATACCTCAAAGGACCCCAGCTGCAACCTACACCGGAATGGTTTTGTGCTTACTACTTTCTGTTAGAGGTACAAAATCGGTCGTACCTTACAATTGAACAAGTCACGCTCAAGCTTAGAAGACAAAAGCAGTATGGCAAAGCTGAAGAGCTTGAAAAGGCCCTCTCATGCTACTCACGAGCTGCATATCGCGAAATCGTAGCGAGACTCTTTGTCTTGCCGCGTGAACTTCGCGACATGATCTATGATGAGCTCTGGGCCTTGGATGCATGCAATGTAACATTCATCAACGCGCTTATTTCTGGAGACGACAGAAACAATCGACGTAGAGAGGCCTGGACTCAACGTTTTCCTGAGAAGCTTGACTGCTATCTCCCAAACTTGGCCAAAGAGTGGTTTGGGGGGAGGGAAGTGGCAACAGAGATGCTGCAGGCTTTTGGGAGAAGAGATGGGACTGATATTACTGCCCGAGGGTGTTCCGATTCTTGGTCTTCTTATCACGTGTCGTGGAAAAAGTTGCACGACCTGATCACAGTAAAGATGTTTCACTCCGACGTCACGCTATACGAGCTTCTGGGGAACACGGGTCTAGTCATCGTCTTCGACTGCATGGACGAAATCGACGGAAACGAGGGTCTAGAGCGTATAGGCATACCAGGAAACTTCAACGCAGAACTTCGCCACTGCATCGATATGCTCTCATCTCTGCGCAACCAAAAGCCTCGCCCTGTCACCTTCGGGTTCGAGGATGAGACGAGAGGCGTACCCAGCAACATCACTCATCTATTTCGCTCGCTGAGCGGCCCGTTCCACGAACTCCGGCAGTTGGGATTTGACATCAATGTCAGATATCAAACCAGCAGCGACTATGACTGTGTATGGGACATGTCAGGAACGTACAATACTCACAACCCTCACACGGACGATGTTGATAAGTGGACTCTGCGAGATTGGAGCCTGAACTTCACGCGAGTGAACGAACAATTCGAGGAAGCTCACTTGATGGGCGAGACGTTCGTGTTCAATCCAAATGGGCCGCTTCGGGGGAGCTTTCGCATCAAAAAGCATGTATGGGAGGCGATGCGCAAGGAACTGTACCGCGCGTATCCAGAAATCGACAAGGTGGTGAAGTGGACGAAGAACGAGAGAGGTGAGATATGGATGGACTGTGGATGTGTGAAGGAGAAGCATACTTGCTGCCCTTACTATCTATGCTACAAGCACGGTGGATGGGATGAAATATCAGATGGTAGGTGGAACACTTCTTGCTACATTTGCAAAGGCCTAGTAGCGCCGGATTTGTCGTAACAATTGGGCTGTTCCCACCAAAGAATGAGGATATGGCAACAGGAGATGCTGCGGTTAGTTGGATGAAGAACGCATCAAGTCTCCCAATTGAGTGCCCTGTCTCAGCAAACAGTCAAGATGGTTTCAGCAGTACGATCCAACTACATTGAAACCACTCACCGCGTTCAAGGAAAGAGCTACACCCTGCAGTTTATGTTGATACGAGGGCGATCGTTAGCAATCTTCCAACGCAATGTAAACTTTTAAGTGATTTACTTCTTTTCCGCGCTATAAGAGAAGTGTTGAATTTAGCTCTAGTATGAGATGCCATCATGCAACTGATCTTCGTTGCATCCTAGTCATATGATGAACATCTTTCTGCCGTTCACCCACGTGCCTGTTCAGATATCAGATACTACACAGCCCTCGCCCTCTCGAGAACTCTTTCGTGAAGTATGACCGGAGTCAATGCATACGCAGATCTCACTTCAACACTCTTTCCAATATTTGAGATGCTCCCCTTGAGTCCCCTCACATACCTCGACTTCTTTGCCCGGGAGGTATGCCTCCACCATCACCTTCACCAAAGCCAACTCGGCTGCTTTCGCAGCAGGATGCATACTACTCAACATATGGAGTGTGATCTTGACTTTTTGTAGGGCTCTGAGCGTATTGGCACGCAAGAAGCGGGCGCAAGCGTTCTCAGGGGCTGCCATTCTCATCTGTGACGCGCGAGCCCCAAAATGAATCGTGTGTACGTGTTGAAGTCGCAACGTCCTCAGATAGCGCCTAATATCGTTGATGGAAATGAAACAAAAGGGGATGGTAGTGTACGCGATCATGGCTGTCTCGACGTAGACTTGGCGACAGACACGGAGTAGATTCCAGCGCGCGCGATGTTCTTCGGGTTTCGCCATCGGCCAATATTTCGATGGCATCTTGACTGGTGATCCGCCGAGCGCGAGGCTGAAGATTCGGTTGCGAATCTCAGCAGGTAGGCGAAGGAGGGGAGATTCTCGTGCATTGCTGTTTGCTCTGGGTGGAAGGTCAGTGCCGTTAATACATGACTACAAATAGGATGTTTCTTACAGCTCGACCTCCGATCCGATGGGCTCGACGTTGAGGAGACCGCTTTTGTGTTTGCGATAACCGCGTCGGCCACGGACTGATCTCTTGGGCTTGTCACTAAGATCATGGCGAGGAGCGACTTTTTGAGACCGTTGCGGAGGCATCCTGCGTCACTTGAACCGCTGGTGTATTGAGTGTTTTGAATTGCGGCGAAGAAGCTACCAGTGCGAAAGTGGAGGTGAGAAGGTCAAGGCAAACACGACAGAAGAGGAAAGTGCAATGAAAGCACGGGCCTTGTGCGCTTCCGTGCAAGAGTGAAGGTGAGAGAGTCTCGGATAGAAGGAAAGCGTTATCAACGAGGAGCGCATACAAAAGACGCTACCTCGGTATTCATCTAAGAGGATGACGCATAGTAAATTCGAGCATGTATTCCTTCCGCGCGTGCAAGCTTGAAGGTAGTATCCATCGAACATTGTGTGAAGATACATTCTCAAGCTTTCGAGGGTAGGGACTGGTTCCAGATGTATTATCAACTGTATGAGTTCGCATTTGGATTGACTTTAAGATAGCTGGAGGGTTTGCAGTAAAATGTCGAAGGCGAGATGTTGGAAGCGTGGAAGGAGCATCTCTGGAGAAGGAACAGGCGGATTACATAATGCGGCGGTCGGAGATGGCTGCCAGATTCGCCGATGACTCTGGAGCTTCGCGTGTTCGACATCATCATCGCTTGCACCCAATCTCCCCATAATGGCGTCGCGCACACGGCTGACAGCCACTACGGCTTCCGGACTACTGCGGAGCTCAAGACCACTCGCAACCTCAAGGATATCGCCGCTCGCTGCTGCTTTGACAACATCCTCCGCCCGCAGCTTCTCGCAGCTCAACTCGCATTCCGCCTCAGACCCGACCAACATCTTTGCCTTCCAAACCGGCTCCAAGTCGGGTGGCGTTCCTTCGTACTTCTCAACACAGAACCGTCGGCCTGCAAATACAATCATCCGGTTCGTGCCACAGCAAACAGCATGGATTGTAGAGCGCATGGGAAAGTTCAACCGCATACTGGAGCCTGGTCTTGCCATCTTGGTACCCTTCATTGATAGGATAGCCTACGTCAAGAGCCTCAAGGAAAATGCCCTTGAAATCCCGAGCCAGAGTGCCATTACCGCGGACAACGTTACATTGGAGCTAGATGGTGTCCTGTACACCAGGGTCTTCGACGCATACAAGGCGAGGTGAGCACGTCGTGCTTGTTAGACTGGGGGCGATGCTGACAACGTATAGCTACGGTGTAGAAGACGCAGAGTACGCCATCTCCCAACTGGCACAAACCACGATGCGCTCCGAGATCGGTCAACTCTCCCTCGATCACGTCCTCAAAGAACGCGCAAACCTCAATGCCAACATCACCGCCGCGATCAATGAGGCAGCGCAAGACTGGGGTGTCACCTGCCTGCGATACGAGATCCGCGACATCCACGCACCCGAACCCGTCGTCGAAGCCATGCACCGCCAAGTCACCGCCGAACGGTCCAAGCGAGCTGAAATCCTGGAGTCAGAAGGTCAGAGACAATCTGCTATCAACATCGCTGAGGGCAAGAAGCAGTCGGTCATTCTGGCCTCCGAGGCCTTGAGGGCTGAGCAGATCAACATGGCCAACGGAGAGGCTGAGGCTATCTTGCTCAAGGCCACTGCGACTGCCAACGGAATCGACGCAGTTGCGCGATCCATCTCTCAAGGTGGCGGCGCAGCACAGAACGCCATCTCGCTTTCTGTTGCTGAGAAGTACGTTGACGCATTTGGCAACTTGGCTAAGGAGGGCACAAGTATTGTCGTTCCCGGCAATGTCGGCGATATGAGCGGCATGATCGCAAGCGCCATGGCAGTATACGGCAACGTCAACGCTTCCCAAGCAAAGGCGCAAGCATCGAAGATGGTCGAGGGCGGAAGCAGCAAGAAGGTTCAAGAGCTCCAGAGCAAGCTGAACGACGCTGAGAGCGGATCCAACCAGATGCACAACGAGATCAACAGGGTCATGGACGAGAGGCTGAGCAAGAGGTAGTCAGCGTCCTTGTATGAGAGACGATGGGATAGGAACGGGATACGACTGTACATTATACCACGCTGTATAAATAGCAACGAGCCGCAAACGACCGCGTCCGGGTTATTGGATATGGGATACCACCCAAAAGCAAGCATCATTCGCGGAGTCTTCTCTCTTCTTCCACTTTGGAACTCCACTTTTCGCATGTCTATAGGGAATAGCGAACATAACTACACTTTCACCTCAATCTTCATCCCGCAATCTAAACTAACCGCTCTACAGCCTCAGCAGCCAACACCGCAATCTGCTTCCCATCCTCCCAAATCCAATCATGTCCACCCTTCAAATCCCTTACATTAACAACTCTCCTCCCTTCCTCCTTAACCTCATCCTCATCATCCCCCACCTCCATAACAATATTCCACCCCTCCCTATCCAGCGTAACACACATGACATCCCTCTGCGCCCTCTCCACCAACTCATCCTCATAGCTATGACAAAGCATCAGCAGCTTCCCCTCCGGCCACTGCTCCTTATTATATCCCCCCGCAACAGGCGACACAGCCTGCCACTCGATGTACCCTGACCTCTGACCAAAAGCGCCCCTCACAAACTCTTTGTAAATCTTCGAGATGTATTCTGGTGTCGTGGGTGGGAGGTGGTTCCGTATCATGAGTGGTAGACTGTATATGCCTGATATCAAAATCATGGCTTCAGGAGCCGGCGTGGGGAGAAGGTCGGGTGTAAGTCCTATACCGGAAACGAGTTGACAGAGCAGTGTTGCGCCGCAGGAATGGCCTATTCCTATCCATCTCTTCACCCCGTATTCGCGCTGGAGATACTGGATTCCGCGGGCGACATCGCGGATGTGTTGCGGATGTCGCGCTGAGCGCTCTGGGTCGTCGGGCGCACTCGGTTGCGTCGCGTGGTCGGGGTACGGCGAGAGTCTGTAGTTCAGACTTGCGATTCCGCCAATTTTTCCTAGAGTAGAGGCGTGCGAAGCGGCGAGGTGGGTGATGGTGGGTGTGAAGCTAGGGGCTTCGATGAGGGGGTCGCGCCAGGCGCCGCCGTGGATGTAGATTAGCCATGGCGCATCGTTGCTCTGTTTGGATGTGGCTTCCTGGGGTTCGGGGAGCCAGATGTCGAGGGTTTGGAGACGACTTGGGGGATCGCTGTAGGGGATTGAAGGGATGTGTCTGGGGAATGGGGTGGCTGTCATGTTTTAGTTTGATTGGGGAGTGGTTGTTTGGCGGGGTGTGCAGGTGCCAAAGTTTGAGGTGTGCCGAGGTCGGTCACTTTTTTTGGGTTTGTAGATCGATGAACCTTGGGTTCGAGTAAAACTTTGAAGTCGACTTAATAAGAAATCACAAGCATAGAAGAAGTGTTGTGAGTATGAATGTTTGATATATTTTCCCATCCAGTACACAAAAAAGAGTACTATCAACCTCATGAACATTGGTTTCATCCAAGCCATGACTAAACTAAACAGACATTATTCCCGTCAAAGACACATGCCAGTGTCGACGCCCATGGTATTGCGATGCAGGTGTGTAACGCAATGCTAATGCAAAACCCAAGGTATCTCAAGGACCGCTATCCTCATAAAAAATAAACTCTCGAAGCTAAAAAGACAAAACAATTGAGGTGTGGTGCGTTTACAAGAACGCGGCCATGAAGGCACCGAAGCCAACGATGCTACCAGCGGCAGCCTTGACGTTGACGGCAGCACCGGTGGCGTCAGCACCGTCGGCGCCAGTGCCAGTGGCATCAGCATCAGTGCCAGTAGCGTCGGCACCGCTGCCAGATGGGCGGCTGCCGCTGCCGGTGGCATCAGCATCGGAGGCAGTGGGCGAGGCAACAAGAGCGACAGTGGTGCTGTTGTTGGCGCTGAC